GGCGTGTGTTCACACTCTGTCTGTCCTTTATTGGTCAATCACTTTCCAAGGCCGATTCGAAAAGGACCTTATGGCGATGACTGCTTACGCTCAGACGCTCCCGCACGCGGCGATTTGACTGCTGGAATGCGTTTCTGGAATGCGCTTGTTCGGGAATCAATTATTTAATACTTATATTCTAGTCCTTCCGCACTTAATTTAATTATTCATAGCACTCAGGCCTTCCGTGCCTTTTCTTATCTACTAGTTTATAACCGTTGGGATAAGTTTTATCTCCTAGTATCCGGCCAGACTACTCCGCATCCTACATTGTTGACCCCATGTTCTCTACATCCAACAGACTCGTCGTTCACGACCGATTGGGACTAGCTGCTAAAAATGTAACTTACACGTAGCTTTGTGCTACAGTGACGCTGCAATGCCTCGCGCTGGGTAGTATTAATTGCAAGAAGCATTGATCAGTAAAGTTTTTAATGCTATACCGAAGTTTTTTAAAGGTTGTTTGAAAATTTCCGCAGTTATTTTTTTCGGTTGGATTCGAACCCATGCCAGCCAGCGGAAGTTTAAAGTACGGCCAACGCTCTAGCTAACTGAGACACGAGGCCCACACAGAAATAGGCAAAATTGCCTCGGAACATTTGCGACTTTAAAAGTAGCGACTTATCGCTCACTCTGTCGACCGTATGCTCAGATAAGCCATATATATTGGAGAGAATCGTTAAATATGTTTGTCCCTTAAGGCACTGGTTTAATGGGATTAGAATCCTGACGGGTAGGAATTTGATATGAAGCTACATCATACACGCTGGCACTAGCTTACGCTTCAGGGTTTTTCACTTACGATCTGCGATGCTTTAACTCTTTCGCAAGAATAAAATTTCGATTAATCCAACTGATTTAAATGTTGGTGAAGACTGCTAAGTCTTTGCCTTAGCGTCTACTTTGATGCTCTTGTGAAATTTTTTGTGACAGATACCAACTACCTGACTCTATGACCAGGACTTGGTAAAGACAACTACTATCCGCTATTACCAAGTGGCGGAAGCTGATAGCCGGTAATACATGAAAACGGGAACGGCCCACCTTTATTGAGTAAGGCTAAAGTAGCCCCTAAAATCTGTATGCTTCTTCACTGGCGCTGGCTGCCCATTCATATTTTGGAGGATTAAAAGATACCTTGTTAACTGACCAGTTAGGTTTTGGCAAGTAACTGGGATTTTAGGTTGCGTACTTTGCGAAAGTCTTTGACATGCGGCCAATGATTGCTAGACTAACTTTATTAACAGGGGATGGGGGGAGAGCGGGAGTATATTTCGTTTATATTTAACCTTGAATTTTACTTTTTTGATGTTTCTCCCTCAACAGACAGCGGGTTAATGTGCACTTTAACCCTCACGAACCCGTAATCCATTGGCATTATACTGGGCCCAGGTGGAGGATAGTGCAGCAGACGCAAAGTAAGTCTACTCTCCCCATAATCTAACTCACGCGCAAGTCAGCGCGCTTACTTCCAGTCGGTTATGAAGCGCACAATAGACAATACCGAAACCGACAGTCGAACTGTTCTAAAATCCGTAGGCTGTCTGATTGAGTCGTCCATAATTTTACACTTTCCGCACAACTTATATTCTGCCTTTCTTATTACATTTCGGCAGCTATCATTTGTCAGTATTTATCATTAGAATCACGCATAAGCAGTGCTACACTTGCTTGATGTTTGAAACGTAATTGCGTGAAATCTTCTGTCTCGACAAACGGGCAGTTTTCTGCATTAAGCAGCGTAGGTTATGCCGAAACGAAAATGGGACTTAACGTGTCATGGTCCGTTGTTGCTTCTTGATTCAGAGATTAAATATTCCAACAATGCAGTGGATTAAGAATTGGTTGCCGATGAATATGAAGTGAGCAAATGTCTACTCCATAGTCCTTTGGAGTATGAGTCTGATGTAGCAGCCCATAGCTGGAGTTATCTTAGATCAGTAAGTTTTTGAAATTGACCATTTTAAATGAATACGCTTGCCCATATAAGTAATACATGCGTCCGAATTGTCACCATCATCTATTCAAGATGAAAGTGAAAACATAGATCACAAGATATGTGTGTTGAGGAAATATTTTGACTAGCGAGCCACTATTTACCATTCACCCTAACTCGACTCCTCCCTCTATGGTTGTCATATTCGAGAAGGACCCGCAATTATGCCTTATTAACAAATTAAAGGCAACAGGTTCGGGTTATACCAGAGTTACCACTGACGCAGTGTTCATATTTTTCAACTCAAAACTAAAATTCAACTTTCATGAACCAGAAAAGTACATTATAGTGTCCCAGTAGAGTTCAATGAGAGTTATAAATTACGGTAGGGTGCTAATTATGAGCTCTTGCTATTTGATCGAATCATTCACAGCTGCTGGCATCTAGTACTAGCGGAGGCCTTTGACTTTCGTCCAGTCTTATTTGTTAACGGACCGAGGTAGACGCCCTCTCTCTTTACGCACTCAAAATACTTTTGTCTATAAGAGGAATTGGGAGCATGTATTTGTCAAAGGAAAAAAAATCCAGTCGTTTATTATTAATGCGCCGGATATATTCTCCGAGGCTGCCGCCCTGCACACGAGATTTGAACTGTCGGCGTAAAAGACCGTCATATTCTTTTACTTGGAAGCATTTTTATCCACATTGGGAGGAAAATAAGTTGGAAGTTAAACTCGGGAAGAACCACTGTTTGTTGAATTCAGCCTTTGTGCGTCATAATCGTGATTAATTTTTTGAAACGCACTGCTTTATAAATTTAAATAAGCTAGTAATTTTGGTTCCGTGGCCGTTACAGTCCACGTTGTATGCATTCATTAGGAACAGCTGTCTACAAAAGTGAATTCTGCTGATATATCTGAGGGCAAAGTAAAGCGCAAGATAAACTTTGATGTTAAAACATCTTAATGAAATTTTTCACTACAAGTTTCGAGAAGGTTTAGTCATTTTCCTGCATAAGTGATTTTTTTCCGGGGAAAATTTAGTTTCACATGTATTCAGAGAGCAGTTGCGACAGATACTGTCGTCAGACTAACAAAAGGTCATTTAGGGAATTTTAATGGTTGACTCTGTCAACATTCAGACTGCATTGAACGAGCCAGAACCTCTTAATTTCTACCTACATCTCGAGTGCTATGTTTATTATTGGATGACGAAATTATGTCACAGTTCTCTAGCAGCGCCGTATACTGTAATTTGTAGTTGCATAAATATAATTAATAAAAAAATAGCTTGGATTTAAAAACTTTATTTTTAAAGTATATGGCTTATAGATACATGACAGCAGCCTAGTTAAACGTTTACCCATCGGTCTGTGAACCGGATTACAACGAGCATTCACCCTTAAAATCAGATACTTTTTTCCCCCTTCCTTCTACAGCGTTTGTGCAAACACCAGAAGGATATGCGATATTTTAGACGTTTAATAACGGTGCGGTAAAGGTACAGATTACCACAGAGAACACTGAAGGTCTTACAAAACTACGGGAAAACTACCATTTCACTTTCTCCCAAAAATGCCACCGCTATAGGGAACAAGCTTCCGTTTGTCCATATCATAATAGCCCATAAGCGGTGATATGTCCAAATCCGTGTCATGAAGAGGCAGTCGTTGGAGACGTTTCGCTATCGCTGTGGCCAGAGGTAGTTCGGCAAGCCAGGTCTCGAGGCGTTCGGCCTCCGTCGGCCTAATCCTCATCCCGTCTGCCAACTCCAGGTAGATCAATGAGGACAATAGGCACAGGCAGAGACAACGCATGTCTGAAGGACTGGAGAGTGATGAAAGCAAGTAACCGTACGAAAAACACACCAAATGACAAATAGGGTTATAAACTCAGATTATTTCGTGATATTTTAATAATTTGTTAGTTTTTGGTCAGAGTCCGAGAGTTATGACTGCAGAACTGGGATGAAGTGCCCCAAAGGCCGCAGGTCGGAGTAGCAAGTGTGTATTGTACTTTGGCTGTGAATTGTGGGTTTTAATCCCAAGCAAACAACTAATTACGCAATAACACAAACAACCTGACTCTTAGATATTCTTTCATAATGTTCTTACTACCTACTCGTGCGTTCCCAGCTAAAAACGGACATTTTGGGGAATTGTGTTACGCTTTCTGGGAGACTGCGTTCTACGTAAGTTATTTCTTTCCAGAATAAAGTCCCTTTTAGAATATCAAGAAGAACAACGCGTATTTATCTATCTTGAACTAGTTGACAGGTTCAATGGAAGCTGAAACAAAACAAGACAAAGCCTTTCAGCCATAATAGGGCAGTGTGTTTCATAAATCTGTGTTCCGAAAAATTTCTTTACAATTAAAATCTAGCTAAGGATTTTTAATTTGACGAATGAATAAAAGTTAATTTGTAAAAATACGAAATTCATAGTTTAAACTCCCTCGAAGAACTCAGATATCCCAACGAGAAAACTTAGGATGATGTAAGAAAACAGTAGCTCATCGGTGAACATAATAGTGTTATCAGTTTAAAATCTAAAAATTGGCAGTACTTATTAACTTGAATGTATTCGTCATTTGCACTCGAACCAAGACGCTCACTTTCTTACTTCAGAGAATAAAGCGTATGGGGCTAAAATAGTGAACATCAAATCTAAGCTTCCTTTAAAACAACTGGCACTTACGGACCATGACAGAACACCAGAGTCCTAGAAATTTAATTTAAACTGGAATGTAACACTCAAAGTTTATGATAGTAAGGGCGTGTTACACAAAGTTTGACTGCAGGCAAACTGAGGCTGCTGTCGTAAATTAAGAAAACACAGGGAGCACACCCATTCAGTAGATAATTGCTAATGCTTCCTCTGAAAAGCATATGACGTAATTCAACGGGACATAAATTAGTCGTTCAGGAAAACAGTAAAGTCCATTTCTGAAGCAGGGAGAAGACGATATGAAGTACCTAGCTGAATTTAAATTGTGTCTAGGTGGAACAGTCACAGATCGCGTATCATTTGCTTCTTGCATGGCATCTACCGTGAGAAATATCTATTTATTAAAAGTTTCGAACTATTTCGAATGCCAATTCTCTGCGCATATATGTGCTTCTTGTCACAACGAGGAGGGGAAAATAAGCCGACTTGAAATATTATCTGTTTTGAGGGTCAGGAAATAAAACGCACGACGGGTATTCATTAATTTGACGGTTGGAAGCCTCCATTTTCTTTCCGTTCTCTCCACCTAGACTGTTTTAACAAAATGGTCACTTTTTATAGAGAATATGCCTGCGGAAAATGAAAAAATTTCCAGTAAAGTTCTAGTCTACCATTAATTCTCGGAGAAAGTAAGCCGTCTGAGAAACAATTTCCGTTATAGAGACTAATAGTTTCAAGTTCTGTTTGCAAAAATGTCGGAGACATTATAAATCCAGCTGCTTTTTAAAATCTCCGATCTATACTGGCTGCTAATTGCATCCACAGTCTACGTTATGTTTTGCAGTTACAAATAAGGTTGAACTAAAAATGGTAACAGAGCTATTAAAGTAGTTTGATTCCATTGACGTACATATTAAGCGAGTTAACGGGAAGATTAGTTTATTAATGGAAGAAATATGGGTGAGAGATAAGAGGTACTTGGACCAGACTTACCCTTTTGGTGGCGACTGGTAAATACAGCTTTTCAGGATGCAAAATTTATATAAAATAACCGGAGCAAGCTGATTGGTCAATCACCAAACCGGCACGACATGGGGACGTGGTTTCAAAGGAATACATTAATAGGGTGGAATTCGAAAAGTAATTTTTGGAAAAGGCAGGGTAGCCCTCACTCCGCAGTTAGGCAGCCGTTTAATATTCGTATTTTAGCAAAAATACAACATTGGCTGTTTAAAAATTTGGCTTTCTTGGGGAAAGGTTTGCTAAATGTTGAATAATAATAATAGTATACCCGGCCACTTTTCTGCTGAGTTTCATTCCCAAAGGCAGAGGGAAACTGAATCACATTTCCAAAAAACTGAATGCTTTTCAACAAAACATATTCCGCAAACCATTTGTGCTCAGACGCAGAAAATAAAAAAATATTCGTAAGCATAGGGACTTATCTATACAAATTTTGCTTGGTTTTTTTTAAGAACGTGCCTATAATCCATGCCCGTCAACTACTATCCTGTTTGCACTTGCTCTAGTTTTTATCCAATTGTATTCGTCGCTGTCACCAACGTTCGCAATACCAACAACCTGATCTCCATAACCTAACAGATGGATCATCGGACAGATATGAACTTGGTATATTTTTTTGTTTACCCGCATAATAACATGCGGGTAACAACTATTTTCTTCCCCACTGACAGCCTAATCACATGCGGGTGAAAATTACCTATTTTTACCCCGACCCACTATATTTGCCCCTGTTAGCCATCACTGTTGATTAACTGCTTCGTACGATTCCCATCCGTCTGATGACGACCTGGTGAGCCAGTGTCGATGTTGGGATGCCGCTATTCCACTTCACATGTGGATATATTCGTTATCTTTTCGCCCTTTCGACAAGGTGGGACGTCCAGGAAGGGCAAATGGTGCTTCTCCTCAACTTTTCAAGTCTATGCTTTCCCAAAGAAGAGCCCACCCAGCTCTCTGAAATTTTAGCGAAGTCAAAGACTCGTTTCGCTGACCACCAACATGGTTCCCAGTTCTTCTCCTCCTTTGTCACGAATCAGATGGCCTGACAGATGACGCTTTTGATTTCATAGACATACCAGAGGGACCCCTTTCCGATACGCACAGCCGTTCTGCGACTATCTAAATCATCGATCTTGATGATCAGGCGCTTCTCTCGCCTTACCTTGAGCCATCGCGTTCTGATCTCGTCCGCTCTAAGTTTACTCTCCAATGCCGCCCAACTTTGTAACGTTCGGTTTTGTATAACTTTGTAGGCATTAGCGAGGACAAACCTTTATCCGAAATTCGAATATCTCATTTAGCGTGAATGGCATGGCTAAAAACTCGCTGGGTAAGAGACTGCTCACTGATCGCGTAATAGGACCAACTCAACCCATTGTGCTTTGGGGATCCATCTAGAGCTCTGACGATAGTCACCTAGCAAATAGTAATATTTAAAGGAGATGATTACCAATGCAGGAATAACAAGAAAATTGAACATTGTTATCTGTAGCGTCGGCCTACCGAGAATTAAAACTCAAGCTTGCAATTCCAAATAAAATCACATTTCACAGTTGATAGAGCAGATTCGATGACGGTATCACAAAAGAGCTTTTCGTATGCTATGATGTGGTCCCGTCAAATGAAAATTCGACAGAAGGGAAGCAAGCTCCACGAAATCGATGCATTTACGAGCTTGGAGATTTTGCTTTATTCCTTAAAGTACAATAGATTGCGTATCTGATGAAATGTGAAGACCAAATTTGAGTGGTTGAATTTATATAAATTTGAAGATGTTTATTTGGTTCATTGAGTTGACTTGAGATGCAAAATGCTTTTTACTAGAAAATAATTCACTTCAGTTCAGTATACTGGGAGCAAAGTGGGGCCAAATTCAACGTTTGTTGATATTCAAGGCATTTCCTACGTTATTAAACGAGGTGGAAAAAACTCCTTGCTTTTGCGCGATTTACTATAAAAGAAGATTTTGAGTTGACCCAAGTGTGAAAAACTCTAGGCATTTGGCGGGATGTGAACCCGCGCATCAGAGAAAGCCTTTTCTGGAGGCTAATGCTT